GAAAACCCTAAACCTCAAAGTGACCATATTTAGAAACAGAAGCTCTAGGAATTAGTTCAGATTAGGTTAGGTCATGAGAGTAAGGTCCTCCTGATGAAATTAGTGGCTTTGTGGGAAGAGGAAGAGAGAGAGAAAGAGAGAGACAGAGGCAGAGAGAGAGAGAGAGAGAGAGAGAGAGAGAGAGATATTTCTCTCTACACATATTATCCAGGAAAGATTATGTGAGGATATAGTGAGAAGGTGGCTGTCTCCAAGGCAGAAAGGCCTCAAGGGAAACTGAATTCACCAGTATCTAATTTGCATATGCTTTCCAGCCACCAGAACTGTGATAAAATAAATTTCTGTTGTTTAAACCGCCAAGTCTATGTCATTTGGTTGTGACATCCCAGGAAGACTAAGATATTTAATACAAAAAAGCAAGGTGCTGCTGTAACAAATACTTAATAATATGGAAACAGCTTCAGAACTGAGTATGGGTAGAGGCCGGAAGAAATTTGAGGTGCATGATAGAACTATAGATCTCAAGGGCAAATCTGTTAAGGACTCAGATGGAAATGATGAATATTTTATTTGGAACTGGAGGAAACACGACTTCTTTAAAATGTGCTGCACTGTTTTGTGGAAGGTGATGATTGTGGGTAATGAAATTGGGTATTTAACAGAAGAGATTGCTAAGCAAAATGTTGAAACTACAGCTTAGTACCTCCTTGCTCCTTACAGCAAAATATAAAAGGAAAGATGAACAGAGTTGTTAAGCAAAAAGGAACCAGGGCGGGGGATGTGGCTGAAGCGGTAGCGCACTTGCCTGGCATGCGCGGGGCGCTGGGTTCGATCCTCAGCACCACATAAAAATAAAATAAAGATGTTGTGTCCACCAAAAACTAAAAAATAAATATTAAAAAATTCTCTCTCTCCCTCCCCCCCCTCTCCCTTAAAAAAAAAAAAAGAACCAGAACTTGGAGATATAGACTTATCTACATTGCAAAATACGAAACAAGTTTTTCCAAAAAGAACAGTAAGGGTGTTATTGAAAAAAATATTAGATTAACAGATCATGGGTGTCATGTGTCACTCATGAACTTAATGAGTTACAATAGAAACGGAATCATGTTAGCACTGCTGTATTGTGGATCCACAAGGATGGGGCCACCAGGACTCTGGGAGGTAATGCAACCCAAACCTTTCATGTCAGACCTCCACCCATCAGAACTTTGAGAATTCACCTGCCAACTAAGTGGGTCTAGACAGTGCAACATCTGCCCTGGGAGCAGGAGCAGAGGGCAGAACATCAAACCAGAGAGGATTATTATCAGTCTCTATGATGCGATGAAATTTGCCTTGCTTAGGTATTCACCTTACTTGATACATGTCTCTCCTTCCCTCCCTCCCATCCTTCTTTACTTCCCTTCTCTCCCTCTCCCTTTCTTCCTCTCTCTCTTTCTCCTTCCTTCCTCTTCCTTTCTTTCCTTCCTCTTCTTTTCCCACTCTTTCTCTTCTTTCTTTTCCCAGTGGAAACATCTACCCTACATCTGCCTCATCATTGTATTTAGGAAGCCCCAAACTTTTCTGGTTTCACAGGTTCACTGCTAGAAAAGAAAGTAGTACCGTTGTCTACTGAATACTTATGTTTCTCCCTCAGATTCATAGGGTTAAAGTCTTTAATCTCATAGTTGTGGTATTTAGAGATGGGTCCTTTGCAAAGTCGTTGGGATTTGATTAGGTCATGAAGGTGGAGTCCTCATGATGGGATTGGTGGTCATATAGTAAAGACAGAAAAATGCCTTTCTTTTCTTCAGTGTGCATGCACTGAGGAGAGGCCATGTGATGGTGGTCATCTACAAGCCAGAGAGAACACCCTACCAGATATGTAATCTCTTAGAAACTTGACCTTTGTACTCCCCAGCCTCTAAGCTGTGAGAAAATGAATCTTGGTTGCATAAGTCACCCAGACTTATGGTATTTTGTTATGGCACCCAGAAGAGACTGAGACAGTAGACAGGACATTTTCTATCATCAGTCTGGAGATAATTAGAATACCTGCTCTAATTCTTGGCATTACATTCAAGAGCAATGGACCTGAAAGAAGATCAAGAGAATTTCTGGAAGGAAAAGCCACAGTTGTTAGAAAGGCTCTGCAAAAACTAAAAGAGAGTGAGGAGGTTTGCACCTCCTCTCTCCACCAACAATGTAAGGATAGGTACAGTTTCCTTGGGGATTTCTGGTAAATATTTGGTGTGAGAGACTCAGAACAATGTCTACTTGTTGAATGTGTTGCAACTGGTTTGGTGAGATGGGAAGCCTGCAGTCAATTTAGGTAGAATAGATGAAATATGGAGAAGGTCATCTCTGTCTCTAGGCCAATCAGATGTAGAGCAACTATGGACTATACTGCTCCCAGAACTGATTTCTAAGAGCAGATGTATTTCGTTTGTGTTGACAGAGTCTGGATAGAGAGAATTCTGCAACCATTTTAGACCACAGTGGTATAATGGCTGTTAAGGAGGTTTAATGTATGGATTTTATTCAAGAAGATGAAATGACTCATGATGCAATTTTAGAGAATAAGACTTGAAAATGGAGATGTTAAAGCTAAGTACAAGAAGGGTGTGAAGAAAAATTCTGCTTTGCACTGAATAGTCTTACTTGAGTTAGGTTCAGGTATTGTGGTACCCCATTTGTACTCCATTTATCCCTTTTCAAATAAAATCTCAGAGACTGAGGTCCTATAGAGCAGAGATGGACTAACTAATCTGATTGTGCTGGGCAAGCATATGTGCACTAAGGAGGTGGTCTCTGTTTTTCCTTTGGTTTTGTCAGTTCAGGAACCTCTGAGGACCTGTGAACTTGGTACACCAAGTTTGGCATTTCAGTGTCTGCACTACAGCTCTGTCTCAGGTCAGTTGCCCATCTTCAACCCTTATCTATAGCCCAGTGTCTATGATTTTCAACTCCTACTTCAAAAAGGTCTCTCTAATTACCTAGGCAGATTGCCTTGTTTCCTCTAATTCTGACAAATGAGCTTCTGCTTGGCTCTATCCATTCATTTGAGCATGTGTGACAAATAGCCAGCCTGGACAATGTACATGGATATGGTGTCATTAGGTATTCCAGGAGACAATGCCAGATCTGCATTTATGTTTTTTGCTCTTTGACTACAGTGTGTTATGATCTGTATTAAATTTGTATAATATCCAGCCTGATTTTTCTTATGCTGATTGCACTGAATAATTATTTAGAAGATCTAACTTAACACAGGAAAAAAACTAGATTGCCAGACAAAATTACTGGGTTTATATATTAGACAAATACAAATGAATCTGTGGGCAAATACTTTGTTAAGTCTTGCAAAATACATGGGGAGCAGTGATGGACTAAATTGGTCCTTAAGTGCGATTTCTGAGAATCTCTCCATTTAACAAAAATTATTTCTGAGAACCTTATTCTCTGCCTTAATTTCAAGCCTATGAAACTCATAGAAATTACTCTTATTTATTTTCTTTAAAAAATGAAAAGCATCAACATGACCAAAATCATAAAATGCAAGGAAATATTAACTCCCTCTGTGTTTATCTATTTCTTCCCATTCAGTGCTTCACTGCACGTAGACAACAGCTTTCACCTTTTCTATTCATAGATGTTTTTAGGATATACATGTCTGTACTGTTCTTTAATTTGTACATTTTGGGAAAGTATTTCTTAACTTCTTGCTTAAGATAAGTTTCGCATTCATATACCAATTCTTTTTTCTTATCCTCCCCCACCCCAATATTCGGTTCTATGTCTATCTTAGCTCCATTTCAGCTGTCTTCATTAAATTAAATAATAGACCCAACTTCTCATTTTTATTTCATTAATTTGGTGCTATATCTGGAATACTCATAAGAAGATAATATTTGTGCACTCATCATGCTCCTTTATTGCCTGCTTCTGGTGGCTCCTGTTTTGCTTTGTCATTGCCAAGGTAGCTGGCTTTTCTCTTCTGAAACTTTAATTATGTGTTCCTTGCTTTGTTAGTGAATGTACCCCATTACCTGTACATCAATAAGAGTCTATGACCTGAGTCAGAAGTTCTGAGCAGTCAGGCAAGTTTTCTCACTTCAAAGCTCTGTGGCACTGGGCACAGGACAGGTTCTTTCTAGACCTGCCCTCTTTTTATGATAGCCTCCATCCAGATTTGGCTGTTCCTGCCTATTAAGTTAAAATTTTTAAATTCAGTACCTTAATCACTATAATTATATTTTAAACACATAACAATTACAGAAAGCTAGGGGCCACTATACTGGACAATGCAGACATAAAAAAAATTTCCTCATCACAGAAATTTCTATTTCTGTGTTGCCAGACTGTGGATTCCTAATGGGTGAAAATAAATGAGTTGATCTAGATGATTTCCAAACTGCCTCCTGATTCCAAATGTCTAAACTTCTGTAATAGAATGCACCTTTCTCCACAGTTAGTCTAACAACACCCAACCCAAAGCTACAGTTGGTTAAAGGTGCAGGGAAAAATGTGATGGAAATCAAAAAAGATGTTTACAGGGGAAAATGGCTCCAGCCAGACAGGAAAAGGGATGTTGTCTTGTCAGAGATCTACTTAAGATTAATGGAGTGGGAGTATATTAAGTACTTAGCCACAGCCCTTCGCCTGCTGCCTCGCTAACATTATTATTTGTCTCCATACAACTTGTTCAAGGTTAGTCTAGAATGCACCATGTGGTATGTTATTTTCCTTTTTCAAGGGCTTTTTTCCCCCCACTTAACCACTTTTATTTTATTTTATAATGCAGATTTTCATATTTTAATATGAATGAGAATTACATAGACCTGAGCAGACCAAGACTAAATGCTACCTAAGTCAGAATTCATAATAATCTGCTCTTTGTTAGTTTCATGACACATTAATCATTTTGATGACAGCAGTAATATAAACAAAAAAACTGATATATACAAATAAAGTCCACATGTAGGAGCAAATTAAAAAATATTTGATATGCAAATTACCTGTTTCCATACAGATACTGGGAAATGCTTGATAATTCACTGTGTAGTGTTATAACCAGAAGACCAATGCCTCTAGGAGAAAAAAATGAATACATCAAGTCCCCCGTGTTAGGAAACATCATCCCTGAGCCATGTTTCTTGTGTTGGGCAGTGCTTTCTCTGAAAATCTTGTCTCATAACTGCAGGAAGTCAGATGGAATGGAAAAAAAAAGACAGAGAAAGAGGAGTTAAAATGAATCAGAGAAGGATCTAAAATATAGGAGAGAAAATTCCTGAAGCAAATGAGTAAACTCTAGTCTTTCCAATCTTACAAAAACAGGTAAAATATCATCATGGCACACCAACAATATGACAACTGTAGGCGTTTGTAGATAGAACGCTAATAGAATTAAACTTTCTAATTTTCTGGTATTTTTATTTGCTGCTGTATCCCTCCTAAGACCCCAAAACAAAGCCTGGGACACATTAAGGATGGAAGCAAATGCAGAATATAATTGGTCCCGTGGCATTTATCAAATTTAATGGAAGCATCAAGGTATCTTAGCAGATGGCGAATTCTCTCAACTTAGCATCAGATCTCAGTGATTTCTCTGTAGGCATGTGAAGAGCCATAGTTCTATAACTTTTTTGAGCTTCCTTCTTGGTGAAATAAAGGGAGATCATAATGCATGTTGGTACATAGGTTTTTTTTTTTTTTTAGTTTTTGTTTGCTTTTTAGCAACACAAATAGCAAATTTGTAAGATCTACCACAAAGAATTCGTTAAAATGATGTGCATGTATTTGTAAAATGTTTCATTTCTAATGCCTCAGTTTGGATAAATAGGTGATGATTGGAGGCAATAATGTAATTCGTCCAAAAGAGAAAAGTCAGAACTCATAGACCAAAGGGCGTTCGAATGTGACAGGTTTTTTACATCTTCTTTCACTTGTCTTCACTCTTAGCTATTTTCCACCTTCTTTGCCAGGCTCTGGCCCCCAAGGTCTCACAGACCCATGACATCACCACAACCTCTATCACATCTGAGTTCTGATTGGGTTTACCAGTGGTGGGGGGGGGGCGCAGAAGGACTCTGGGACCAAAACAAGTCCAAGTGTTTACTTTCTAGCTCTCTCCATGGTTCAATGTCTAGTTCTCCTAGGAACCATGAAACTCTAGAATACTTGGATGCTTCAAATTCCTTAGTTTCAGCTCTTCCCAGGATTTTTTAAATTTTTTATTCCTCATCTCACTTCTTCAGGCCTGAGTCAAAATAGTTTTCTACTTTTGCTAATCTCTGGGAGATTTTGCACCTTGTGGTCCCCAAAATCATCTCTATGAAGAGTCATTTAATCAAATCCTCTTTGAAATCCCAACTTTCTGTTTCAATCTGAGATCATGCCAGATCTATGCTATTCTTAAGTTAAAAAACAGGCCCATAGATAATTTTTCAGTTTGGCCTTACCATTAGGATTTGATAGTGCTCAATATTGTCCACCAGAAGGAGGGTTTGAATGGAGAATACACCTATGCAAAGCTATTTCTAACTAGTGACTTCTGTAATACAGATGGAGTTCAAGCAGTTCCAATTAGCATCAGAAAAGGTAGCATCAGTGTATGATACTGTTAATCCAGTTTCAATCTTTTATTAAAGGTCTAGTCAATATGCTTTGCCCCCCCCCCTTTTTTTTTAAGCCAGATACCAATTTTGCCTGTATAAGACCAGGCTTTCACCATGTACAATTTGTGAATCAGTATGTATTCTGTTCCCACTTCCCATTACAGTGATGGACCCACTTAATATTTGGGTTCATGAATACCCCATACTCAACTTTCCTAAGGCCCTGAGTGGGTGGTTCTTTGGCCTTTTGAACCACACTCTTCTTTCACTCTACTTTCTATATCGCATCCAATGTCAGCGTCAAACTGGAGAGTATATCAGAGCCTATTTATATATAACCAAACTTCAGAAAAAAAAAAACATCTCCATCCAGGTCACAAGATGCCTTAGATAGTTTCTATGCAACAAGCTTCTTGTTTTGACTTAATCTTTTTCATGTCACCTGTGACAGAAGCTGTCACTGATGGATTCCAAAAGGGTGGGTAACATTTCCTCTGGAGGTTAAGACAGAGAAGTCTATACAATGTCTGTCTCCACAAATGGAGCAAGGAATCAGGTCTGAGCCTGGAGATAAATACAGTCTTATGACCAAGGAAAGATTTCTTCCTGCAGTTACAAATTCCACCATCCAAAGAGAAAGAGGATAGACAACAACTCTCTGGAAGCAGCTGTTATATAACATTTGCTGACCAAAATCTGACTCTTTCTTCTGTTAAAATGCTGCAATTTGATGATATGTTAAATGAACATTTATATTCAGAACTCTCCAGAGGACTTGAAACATTTTAATACTGAGTAGAATTTAATGAGTCTTTAGATATTAATAATGCCATTTGCTGCCCCGTATTGTTCTGTGCATGAAATGTTTCCTGGGAAATGGACCTTAAAAGTAAGACCAATAAAGATTTTGGTTCTCAAATGAAACAAACAACATCTGTGCCTACTGGAAAATAATTGCTTGTATTGTCTTAATTATAATATGGTAGCATATGAGGCCCTAAAATGAGACAAAAAAATACACAATATGGAACCACTATGAAAGAAACATGAGCCTGTGCTAGCTCAGTGAGCTTTAGTGAGCCTGTCCTAGCCCACTAAATGCAGGAGCAGACTGGAGGGACACATGAGCAGTAGGTCTTCCTAACCAAGCTGTGCCTAGATCTGTAGATGGCTACAGACCTGGGCTCTGTGTATAACCAGTGAGCCTGGATCAGCTGAACTTTTCAGCCTTGTTTATTGTTGCCTGCCATTGACATTTTAGGGTCTGTTCTTCTTTGAGGACTAAATTAGGCATCCTCTTGGAGCTAGACACCTGATTTTCAAGGAAAGTTTCATGCTCTTGCTTTTGTTTAAGCCACAAAAGTGAGAACCATCTGAGTTTAAGATATAGTTGCTTATATGAAATTATTGGCCTGATGGCCAAGCTACATTTTCATAGTTTATATAATCTCTCATCTTGCAGAAATGCAGTATGTTTGCCTGTGAGAGAAAGTGTTGAGAGCCACAGCCGAAGGGGCCCCAGCAAACTTCCAGCTGCCAGCATCTTCAAGGGATACTATAGCATTAACTATATACTGACTATCGGAAAATAAATTAAATACAGAATCTTTAAGCATCACAAAAGCTTGTAATACTGCATTAAGCTCTACCTTTTGAGCTGATTGTTTGGGTACTAAAAATGTAAAAGTTTGATCAGGTGTAACTATTGCTGCTGTACCATTATTTGACCTATCAGTGAATATATTTGGAGCATTCATGATAGGTGTTTTTCTTGTCATTTTTGGAAAAATTACAGGATGTGATGACCAAAAAGACAATAAAGGATTAGATGGTAAGTGGTTATCAAATGAAACATTAGATTTGCACATGATTATTGCCCAAGTATTTAACTCATTAGCTAATTCATCAATTTGATTCATAGTATATGGAGTAATAATTTTATTGGGAGAAATTCCAAACACTCCCTTTGCTGCTTTTATTCCTTTAGTATTAATTGTCCTACAGCCTCAGGATACCTAGTAAGAATAGTGTTAGGAGAATAAGATAAATGTATCCATAATAATGGACCTTCTTGCCAAAATACTCCTGTAGGAATATTTTTTGTTGGTATTCCTACATGGAGAACAGAGACAGAGGTCAAGGAGGTCAGAGCTGAGAATGAGCCCTGAAACTGTCCTGAGCTGTGCGACTGGGAAAAGCATGTACCAACCTAGATCCCACTTCTCAACTATGAAATAGGCTGATGATATCAGAACTCATCGAACATGAAAAGACATAAGGAAAGTAATGAGCGAGTTCCTGGCACATAATAAGGACCCACCTGTGTGGCAAGAAGTAGGGAGGATAGTGTTCTTTCTGCACATGGACCAGTCAGTTGAGTCCTCAGTCTGAAGACTGGGCCTCCCCAGGGGGTCTTCCTGCTGCCATCTGAACAAATAGCCAGTGATGTTTTGCTCTGAAAACCCCTCATTCACATTAAATTTCAGCAGACTTCACTTTATCACCCATGTTAGTGCCCACGTTACCATAGTGACAACTAAGCTAGAATGTGGACGCTCCATTAACTGTGGACTCAGCATATTTAGAAATGAACATGCTGCTTTAATTTCTTAAACATATCTTCTCTATATAGATATCTTTGATATCTGCATGCCACACACAAAATTACATTTGGATTACTGTTGGGTCCTAGATTTTTCTTTTTGTGGCAGTGTCTCTCAATTAATTCCTAACAGAATTAAAACATCTACATGAATTATTTTCTTTACCTGTTCCTTCTCTTGTCTCTGTCCTCCCTTTCTCTGCCCCCCCCCTGTCCCGTGTCATAAACCATAAAGTGACAAAGTGTGACTCGAACCGAAAATTAAATGAAACTGGCATCAAATTCCACTACTGCTTACAAGGGGAAAAAAAAAAAAAAAAGAAAACCCGTCTCTATGCATGTAATGTTTTCCATTTAAAACCAGCGGTTGAAATATAGTTTAATAACTGAGAAATTGAGAGAACCCAACGCTCAACACTTGCTCGCATCACACGGTCAGCACCTTCATTATTTCTGGCCCTTCACATCGGGGAAGCAGTTAGACTTATAAGGGAGGAACACAAGAGTTAAGTGAAGAACAAGGTGAAAAGAGCTAATAAATTCATTTCATTTAGTAGATTTCCAGCTGGTAGGCCCTTTTTAATAGGGAGAGGAAAGTGAGAGAAGAGTCAGGCTGAGTGACTCATCAGATCCCGCAACGTGGGAGAATTAGGTTTAAGTGAAAAAGGATGTTTCCTAGGAAACTACATGATCTGCTTGTGGAACATCAAACAAGAGCAATTTCCTAACAACAACCATGACTAAATTGATCTACCTCAGACAGCTTTATCGGCAGGGGGGAGATTAGATGCCTTTTGTGTTTTTTTAGTTACTATCCTCAAATTGTCTATTATGTGAAAGTTCCAGTCGCTGGATTTCTGACCTTCTTTGAGGACAGGTATGCTATTCGCTTATATGTAACTGGAAAGCAGTTTTCCCTGTTTCTTCCTCCCCCCCCCCATCTCCTCCCAAACCCATGCAACACATACCTTTTCATCACCCCTTTCTAACTCCAGCAGCAGCTTCTAATAACGTCTTTGCAGCAAACCACAAGATCCAGTCTTTATTAGAGTCACTAAAAATATCCTTCCAGCTTTAGTCATCCAGGGATCTAAATTAACTTACTCTCTTTTAAACATGACAGTGAAGAATGTGTAATTCACACTAATAGGGCAAAGGAGGTTGGTGTGGATTAGAAAATGGTCTGAAAACGAATGCAAAACATGTTTGTTTTTATTTTTTTAAAAAAATAGAGTGTATTACCACAAGCACACAGGGTATTTAATCAAATGTTTTATAGAGTATATTAGAAATCATTAGTTTTTGTATTCTTTAAGGTTATAAAGAACATGGTAATTGGTCAGAAAGTAGAACCTTGTTGTTTAAAGAAGCTGATTATTCATAAAACCCCAAAGGTTTCCTGGAGTCACAGATTTGAAAAGCCAGGAGGAGCCCTCAGTCCCTCACCACAGCTGGAAGCCACACCTAGAGCTGTGATCAGTGATCTCTGCTATTTATATGACAACCATTTCTGTGATAAGAGCAGTTAAAATTTATCCCATTTATTCATTCAACTAAAATTTACTCAGAATCTAGTGTGTATTAGGGACTGCTTTAAGTGTTAATGCACAAGACAGATAAGATACCTCCTAAAAAAATCACTCTCTACTAAAAGGAGATACAAGATAAGCCTTCAAAAATGTTTATGATTTATATAGTAACAATTTCTACAAAAAATAGAGTGAGCTTATGATGGAATGGGTGTAGAAATTTACTCTGGATTCACACTTATGAAACTATCTGTAATCTATCCGTGATGTGAAGCTAATATTATCTTCAATCCATTATCAAACTTTCTGCCAAACAAATAAATTACCAGAAAATAACATACAAATGCAAGTCTGAATTTTAAAATCACTAAATTAAAAAGATATAAAATTACTCTGTCAAAGTGCTATAACAATTTCTAAATGTCTACTCTTACTTATATTCTTATCTCCTCATAGACTATTAACAAACTAAACCGTAGAAGACCCTGTTCTCAGCCTATTCTTGGAGACTAACTTACTCATAGACCTACCAATGAAATGTTTCCTGGAATCTGAAACCTTCTTTAGGGTTCCAAACCCATTTTCTTATTTTGGAGATTACATAGTGTTTTAGTAGCTTTGGTGCTGCTATGGGCAAAATACCTGACAAGAAAAAGTTGGATGAAAGTTTATTTGGGTTTGGGACAAATGGTGGTATCAGAGGACTTGTTCTATAGACAGCCGACTTGGGGCCCAAGGTGAGGCAGCATATCATGGTGCAAGGTCCCTGTGGAGGAAAGCTACTGTGCCCTCAAGACAGGGTTGGAACACACAGGAAACAGATAGTGAGGTGGAACACAGGGAAGATGCACCCTTCCAGGAAATGTCCCAGTGACCTGCCTCCTCCAGTGACATCCCACCTGCCTCTAGTTATCACCCAGTCAGTTCATTCATACTTGGAACTTTTAGGAGACACCTCATGTCCAAACCTTAAAGAGTGGTTACCCAGTACCTTCAGTCATCTCTAACTCAATGTTAGTCAGTTATCAATGTCAGTTAGGGACTCTAATTTTACACTTTAGATCATTTAAGGGTTAAGTAGGCCTTTCGAATTTAGCCTCCATATCTAGCCATCACCACTTTGACTACTGTCACTTAGAATTTCAACTATCTTCAAAACACATTTTTTTTGCAACCAATTCACTGAATGTAGACACTATTTATTAAGTGCTTACCCTGGGCCAGGTATTATGGTGAGCATTTTTCATGTATAATTTCAATTCAATTTTCAAATAACCCTAAAAGCAAAAGCTATTACGATCCTCTCATATGTTGGGAAATAAAAACATTTACATATGTGCCTAGAGGTGTCACATTCCGTTTATATTTTTTTAAGATTTTGATTTATAGAACTCTATTACAGAGATGAAAATTTAACATTCTCAATTCTGTCAGTAATCGTGTTCTTTAAAACTCCTACATTTTCCTGAGAAACAGTGCCATAGTGTGTCTAGAGAATGGAGGGAAGCATTTGCTCTCCTCTTCACAGGTGGGAGACCCAGGGTGCGGCTCAGGCTCAGGCAACCAGGCAATTGCAGGTCTTGCAGGTTTTTACCTGGAAGAAGGAGGTGAGACTAAGAGAAGGTGCACAGTCCAGAGAAGAACTTTCTCTTACCTTACTGATGTGTTCCAATGTGTTCAACATGCAACCATTTATTTATCTGTAATTTTAATTTGTAAGTGTATTGACTTTTAAAAATCATTTTGTTTCTAACTTGTATTTAGCACCTTCCTTTTAAAATCTAACACTGTTACTGTTTGAGCAGGAGATATCTTACTGCTAGTTGTCAAGAGATCCAGCTTATTTTTCTTACACAGGTTCACAGAAATGACACATAGATCCCACTTTCATAAACACTGCATAGGCCAGCTTATCTTCCTTCAAGTCTTTTTTTAGGAAATTATAGAGAGATATTCCCAGGAACAAAAGGGCTAGATCATAAATTATAGATCCACCAAGGTAAATAAGTACTGGTCGGTTGCTTTCTTTTGAATCAGAATTTGGATGGCTATGGAGTCTGTTGGATATTTTTTATCACTAAAAATGCTGGAACTTTTGCTTCTAGTGCTGCCATTAAGAAGTTTCTGGTCAACTGACTCCCAGTTCATATGTATTACTCTTTTATTTTCCCTTTGAACTTTTGAGATCTTTTATCTGATGTATTCTAGAGAACAAATGTGCATTATGATAATACTACTTAAAATGGAAAATATTTGTCTTCATTTGTTGGAACAGTTAAGGAACTTTGAATCTAAACAATTTTATCCTTTAATTTGGGAATATTTTCACTTAGATTGTGGCTTTATCTTTTCTTTTTTAAAAATTTAAAAATTTGTTTTCATTAGTTAAACATGACAGTGGGATGCATTTGTGCACTTTGGTAAATCATACACACTTGGGGTATAATTTCTTATTTTTCTGATTGTACATGTTGTAGAATCACATAGGTCCTGTAGTCATATATGTAGATGGCAATGTCTCTTTCATTCTACTATCCATTCTATCCCCATATCCCCTCCCCTCCTTTCATTCCCCTCTACTTAAAGAGACTCTATTCTTTCCTAGTATCACACCTCCATTGTGAATTATCAGCTTCCTATCAGAGAAAACATTTGACCTTTGGTTTTGGGGGACTGGCTTATTTCACTTAGCATAATAATCTCTAACTCCATCCATTTACCAGCAAATGCCATAGCAATATTCCATTGAATGAATACATACACACACACACACACACACACACACACACACACACACACACACCACACATTTTCTTTATCCATTCATCTATTGAAGGGCACCTAGGTTGGTTCCATAGTTTAGCTATTGTGAATTGAGCTGCTATAAACATTGATGTGGCTGCATTATTGTACAATGTTGATTTTAAGTCCTTGGGGTATAAACCAAATGGGATGGCTGGGGAAAATGGTGGCTTTATCTTTTCTAATCTATTTTCCAGTTATTCTTGGGATCACCTTTTATTTTTAAAAACCAGTTAAAAATAATTTTTGAGATTTATTCTATTTTCCTTTGTAAGCCTTCTAAGTTCTAATATTTTTAATATCAAAATTTCATTAATCGGTATTCTCTACTCTGAATGTTCTTTTTTCTTTGGTTTATATTTTTGTTTCCTGAGGAAAGTTGCTATTTTTTTAAGTTTCTCCTTACCTTCGGCATTAGCTCTGTTTTCTCTTCCTTGTTCTCATTGTTCAGGTCGCCAATGCTAAGGTGTTTCCTCAACTGTTCAGTGGTCTCTGCCTTCAAGTGTATGTTGTAAGAAGTTGCCTGGCTGCCCCAGGGGTAGCTTTGTTGGATGGTAGGTTGGCTTTTCCAGTTTAGAGACGACTTCATAACTTTCTACAGCTCAATACCTTTTTTCTTGGATTTGTTAGTTTTGCCAGAGAGAAATCCTTTCTTTGTTGGGTATATAAATCTGCTGGCATTTCTTGACTTCCATTCTTCCATTTTTTTTCATGGTGTTCCTTACATTCCAGTGTATGTTGGATTCCCCAAATCTAGAGTTCCCTCTGCTTCAAATATTTCAGCAAATAAGCCTCTAGCCTTCTGCTGGGACAGGGACAGGTGATTGCCCAGTTGAAAAAGGTCAGAGAAGGGAGCTGAGGGTAACTAAGTCTTACCAATACAGTTTCAGTAGGGCCCCTAATTCTAGTGCAACCTGATACCCCACTGTTAGAAGTCTTGGGCGGCTCTGGTCACTATGGTCTGTATGTTCTTGTGGCAGGGGAAGGTTCTGTATTATGAGTCTACAGGCCTCTAGACTTTCACACTGTTAACTTAGGTTTCAGCTTTTCCAGGTCTGTTAAATCAGTTATATACATCTCTCTGCTCTCCTGCTTCCTGAATTTTATGGCTCTCATTTCCTTCCTTATATTCTTGACTCTGAACTGCTTCTATTCTATTTTGTTCCTTTGCTGTCATTTTTGCAAGATTTCAGAAAAGTAGACAAATAAATGCCCATGTTAATCCACTTATACCATGTAGCAGAAAGAGGAATTACAGTTGCTGTTGTTCTCCTTAAGAGATTTCAGGACACATTTTTAGATATAGTTCAAGGTCACCATGCCTGTACCTCCTTCTCCATAGACAGATTTGTAAGTGGAAAAGAGAATGTGGTCACATAAAATATGTTCTTCTTTTCTCAAAACTATTATATATATATATATATATACATATATATATATATACACTTATATAAAGTATATATAATATATATATACTTATTATATATAATATTTATATATACTTATTTTATATATATATGTGTGTGTGTGTATATATATATATATATATATATATATATATATATATATATCCTAATCCCTAATACTTCAAAATGTGATTTTATTTAGAAATAAAGTTGTTGAAGGTGTAATTAGTTAAAATGATGCTCTACTGGAGCAGTGTGGTCCTTAATCCAGTCCTACTTCAACCTTATAAGAAGAGGCCATATGAAGACACAGAGACACAGGAAGAACTTTGGGAA